ATCCAGCAGTCACAGTGCGAGGGGCGGGGTACACCCTGGACAGGTCGCAAGTCCATCACAGCTAATAATAATGTTAAATAATAATAATAATCCATCAGTCTGTTTATGTCATAAGGATTTTCAACATAAAGACAATTCAACAAATGTTGCCCTTTGTTTTTTAAATTATAATTTGAAGCTGATTGTTACTCATAAAAAGGTWTGGGTCCAGCTGTGTTTCTGACTGACCTGCTTTCATCAGACGGTGAAGGAAACACTAACGGCTGCAACACAGGGCAGGTGTGGCCGTCCTGCCAGAAGCCTCTGCAGCCGGAGCAGAACATGTTGTGACAGGTGGGGCAGGCCACGGCGGCAGGTTGGCCCTCGGTGCTCGGCTGGACRCTGCACACCGCCTGGCATTCCAGTACGGGACACCAAGCTTTGCTGGGGTCCAGCTTCACTCCTGTAGAACACAAAGAGAGGAAAACGTGTGAAGCTTTGGGTCATGTGATGCTCCTCTCTTTGCCAAACTGAACATTCTTTTGTCTCCTGCTCTACAAACTAATATATATGTAATCTGAATTTTTGAATGTCTTGCTTTATTTTAAAAAGTGTAGCCTTTAAAATAAGAYTGCACGGCCAGCATGAAGCACAAATAACCAGCGGTGTTCCTTTTTACCATGTAACAAGTGTGTACAACTTAACTCCTTAAACTGACAAAACTCTTGGGAGTAAGTTTGGATCATAAATCTAAATAATACCAACAAATGCTGGACAAGGCCAACCGATCAAACTCTGGTGTTCATGGAACATTTTAACCACAAGTTTACTCCAGCTAAACTCAAATCTGTTAAAAGCAGTGGTGGGCAGCGCTAATCCAAAAACTAGCTCCGCAATTTCTAAAGTGCTTATGAAAATATTTAGGTCCGCAACTTCGAAAAGCGCTCATGCAATAGAAAAACTAGCAGAAGCTAATTTTAAAGCACAAGTTCAATTTGATACTCACTAGCTGGCAATAATTCATGTACAATTTATGCACAATACTGCCAACTAGTGGTGTATGAACTCTTTTACAGCTTAATCCTACAAGCACCGATCGCTGGGGATGTGATTTCATGAAACAGACCTTTGGCTCATGGTGTAAAAGTTGTTGAGGATTGCTAGTTCGGCTGCTTCTAGTTCGGCTGCTTCTAGTTCGGCTGCTTCTAGTTTGGCTGCTTCTTTGTCTTTTGCTTTTGTTTGTTGTAGATTTTTCATTAAAGAAGCATCAATAAAGTAATTTTAAAACTATTTATTGGAAAACTGAAGCAATGCCTTCTGGGTACATGACGGATTTGATTTGTGACGGGAAACGAAAGCACGGAGTACGGGAAACTATCTTCACTTCAAAATAAGAGGATGGATTTTAAAGTTTTCCATATTTTTGCCTGGCCAAAAAAAGGTCACACTCTAATATTTTATTGTCAAAAGCTTCTGCAWTGTCACAAGATTTATTTCCATCCAGTGTTGCATTCATTTTTCACCAAGATCTTGCATTGATGATGGTAGAGTCTGACCGCTGCACAAAACCTTCCCCAGCACATCACAAAGATTCTCACTGGACTCTGTGGAGCCAATCCATGTGTGAAAATGATGTCTCATGCTCCCTGAACCACTCTTTCACAATAAGAGCCCCATGAATCCTGGCACTGTCATCTTGAAATATGTCCGTGCCATCAGGGAAGAAACAGTCCATTGATGGAATAACCTGGTCATTCAGTATATTCAGGTAGTCAGCTGACCTCATTCTTTGAGCTCAGACTGTTGCTGAACCTAGACCTGACCAACTGCAGCAACCAAACATCATAGACCTTAGTTAAATCCAGGTGGACACTTGTTTTTTGGCCAGGCAGTTATTTCCAGTTTTCTGATGTACCATGCTTTGGTTTTATATGTAACCAATTAAAATCAAATTACTTTGTCATTTTTAGCCACTCTTGTAATTTCATCACTTTACATTAAATGTTTTTGGTAAATTAGCACWAAAAATAATGCAAATGGAGAACCCAAATGTAGAATACTAGCTATCAGCTCCTGTTTAACACAATGTGGCTAACAGCTACAGTACATTCTAACATGGTAACATTTTSAGATACTGATCAGCAGGGACATTACAAACAGACTTGGACTAGAAGAATCTAAAACATAAAACTAGCATAATGTGTACATACACTGCCTGGCTGTAATCTAAGCTAAAGGCAGTCCAACATTACTGTGTGTTTTGGCGAGGTAGTGTATTTACTGCTGAAGGGTTAATGGATAAAATACAAGAGTGGCTAAAAATGACAAAGTAATTTGATTTTAATTGGTTACATATAAAACCAAAGCATGGTTCATCAGAAAACTGGAAATAAGAATCATCTTGTAAAAAATAAAAAAACATTTTTATGAAAAAGTGACTGAGACGTTTAACTTTCACTGTGACTCGAAACCAAAAAAAAAAAATCTTTCGGTAAGCAGCCAGTACTTTGGACTTTTCTTTTTCCTTCCATGAGTCTCATGATTCATAGCTGATGTCAACAACAGCTGTGTGTTCCCACAAAGGTTTTACAGCAGTACAAAACTATAAAAATCATTTACCAGAATACTGACAGTTAATGTTATTGTTTATGTCCTGCTGGTAATCTTCAGCTAAAATTAGGGTAATAAAAGTTTGGCTTCTGTGCTGCGGTAACCTTGAATATTTCATCCCTAACATTTGGTGTGGGTGTGGGGTGGGTTTCAGCTTGTGTAAGCTGAAACAGCTCACTGGTATTAGCCAAGAGAACATGATGCAACAATAATACTTACCTCTCTCAAACTTCAGCCGCTGATACAGCTGCCCCTGCTCTGCTGCTGCCAAACTGYCGATCTGCAATCAGAGCACAGCCAGACGTCAGACCCTCAGCTCTGACAGTCTAGATCTGCACAGCAGCTGAAAGCAAACATTTTTTCACTTTTAAATTTAATTGAGTTTTTAAAAACACAGCAGTCTCAAGCCACAGATCCTAAAAAAATGCTTCTAACTAAAAAGAAACATGCTGCATCAAAACACCTTAAACTGCTTTCAGTTCAGTTTTATATTTAACTGAGAGAAATAAGTTCTGCAACAGTTCTTGTTGCAGAGTCAAGTCACAGTTCTTTATTTTTCTATTTTATATCGCATTTGTTTCACTTTTTGAATTCCAAACACAATACATTTTAAATAAGAAATCTAATTTCATATGAGTGCAATTCAAATAAAAGTTTCTAAAGATTAAAAAGCCCCAGGCTGAAAAATGCAACTTCTTCTTTCTGCAGACGTGAGGTTGCACCACACAGAAGTGGAAACTTCAAAAACTGGGAACATTCAACAACTAACATTTCATTTATTCTTCATAAACTGCTGACTACACCATTTTGATCAAAAACTTCTATTTTTTTTGGTCTGCATTTTGGTTCCTCGTCTGATCCAGAGTGAAATGCAGAAGTATTCAACCCTTTGGTGTTATTTCAATTTGTGTTRCCCTTTAACCTGGAGTTTTTAGTTTATGAGTAAAATAAAATTAGTTTTTATATCAGTGGTTAATTTACACTCACCGGCCACTTTATTAGGTACACCACGCTAGTAACGGGTTGGACCCCCAAGGGGCCCAAAGAGTGCCAAGAAAAGATTCCCCACACCATGACACCACCACCACCAGCCTGAACCGTTGATACAAGGC